CACTCTAATGGCAGAAAGCAAAGAGGAACTAAAGAGCCTCTTGATGAAAGAAGAGACTGGAAAAGTGGCTTAAAAGTCAACATTCTGGCATCGGGTCCCATCACTTCATGGCAAACAGATGGGAAAAAAGTGGCAACAGTGACAGATTTTATTTTCTTGGGCTCCAAAATCACTGCAGATGGAGACTGCAGCCATGAAATTTTAAAAGACATTGCTCCTTGAAAGAAAAGCTGTGACAAACCTAGATAGCATATTAAAAAGCAGAGACATCACTTTGCCTATAAAGGTTTGTGAAGACAAAGCTATGTGTTTTTTACAGTAGTCATGTATGTTTGTGAGAGTTAGACCATAAAGAAGGCTGAGTCTTGAAGAATTGATACTTCCGAATTGTGGTGCTGGAGAAGATTCTTGAGAGCCCCCTGGACAGCAAGGAGATTAAGCCAGTCAATCCTAAAGGAAATCAACCCTGAATATTCACTAGAAGGACTGATGCTCAAACTCCAATATTTTGGCCACCTGATGCGAAAAACCGATTCACTGGAATCGGCTCTGATGCTGGGGAAGATTGAGGGCAGGAGGAGAAGGTGACAGAGGATGAGATGTTTGGATGGCATCACCAATGCAATGGGCAAGAGTCTGAACAAACTCTTGGTGATTGTGAAGGACAGGGAATCCTGGCATGCTCCAGTCCATCGGGTTGCAGAGTCAGACACGACTTAGTGACTGAGCAGCAACAGCAGGGCTGCCTTGTGCATTGCTACTTGCAGAACTATCCCTGGAGTGTAACAGAATTTTAAAATTGGTAGAACATGTTTGTGGGTCATACCCTGCCTTGGAAACAGTAACTCCAGGAGGTGAAAGGAGACAGTTGTACTTATTTAGAACGGGGTGGAGATGGGGGAAGCCCGTAACAATCATTCCCACTCCTGCATTCTGTAGATCTTGAGCTTCTTTTTGTTTTTCCAAGTGAAAAGGAGGTTGTGACACAGTATCTGACTTTGTCTGTCAGTAGTGTTGGTGCTATTCTGGGTTTTTCTGTCCCCAAAGCTTTGTGTATCACTATATCTGAACCAACTTTTCTGAGCTGACTTTTTAAGGTAATGTTCTGAGCTACTTCATTCCTCTGCTGGAATCTGATTTAACCTTTAGAAAACTTGGGAGGGGCCTAAAATATGCTAGACTCCAGATTGTATTCCCACAGGGCTAGACTGACTGCTTACTTGGAACATGGTTGATCCTGATGCAGAATAGATTCACTTCAGATCTTACTGCCATCCATGATATATTATAAAACTTATCTATATAAATCAGGTTTAGGACAGGCCTGGGAAGTGAGTGATAACTGAATATATGTTAAGATCCATTTTATACTAAAATAATGCCATGAAAAGTTTTGTCTTGCTTTATAAATATCATTTTGGTGGAGAAGGAAATGGCAACCCACTCCAGTATTCTTGCCTGGAAAAATCCACGGACAGAGGAGTCTGGCAGGCTGAAGTCCATGGGATTACATGACTGAGCATGTGTGCACGAGGGTGGAGGAAGATGGGTTGGTAGCAATAAACTGGAAGAACTAAAAAAAAAAAAAATATATCATTTTGGGTGAGCTTCACCTATAATTGGTGACTTGTTCAGGATCAAAACAAAGCGGGCACTGATAACTGAGTCACTTATTGGCCTTTGATATGCTCTTTAATCCTGCTGGAATTCATAGCAGTGGTCCTAGGGGGCTGAGATGTTTCTCAAAGCTGCTGTTTAAATGGCAAAACCACATATCTTACTTAGGTAATGCTAAAGTATATCCTTCTTGATTTCATTAAAATCTGAATTTAAAATATTTGGTACAGTGGGTTAAGTTTAAACTTCTGCTTCAAAATTAAATCTCTTAATGTCTGAGAAATGCTTTATTTGTCACTTCTGCAATGCAGTTAGTTCATGCTATTTTTAAGAGGTCAAGTTAAAAGGTATGGGCCTTAAATCCACCATTGCTTGCAGATGAAAAACTACAGAGGACTCCTACAAGGAAGTTTTTCTGATGTGTCATTCTCACTGATATATATATATATATATCGGTGTAACACAGGTCCTGGCATAATATTCAGGAGACAAAGTTTTCTTGTGTAGGTTTTGAGAAACTGGCACTCCTCAAGATAGCAGAGGAACAATGTGGTTTTTGCTATTTGCACTTGGTATAACTCAAAACAAGTACCTACTATTGAATATTCTGCTAAAAACACCTTCAAACTAAAAAAATTTGACTATTTTATTAACATTGCTACCTTGCTAAAACATTGGATTTCTGAAACTAAAAGCCATGATGACAATAACATTTATAGCCTTATTAAAAGACTTTGTCATAGTTTGATAACCTCATAAACCAGATAACAGATGTTGAGTGTTTTTCTCCCCCTGTCTTCTCTAACTTAAGGTAGTGCCTGAAAACAAAGCCATTTAGTTACTGCTCAGGTAACCGTTAACAGTGACTCAGCCTCTAGGGCTTATAAACAAAGTATTGATAACCTTTTGTCCTGCTTCTACACATTAACAAGAACACTGTACTACCATAAAAAGCTCTCTCATTACCTCAGCCAAAAATCATTAGTCTTTAAAAGGCACAGATTTGGGCTTTGATGTTCTTTTTTTTTTTTTTTAAATGTTTATCATCTAATACATTTTTTTTCTCTTGAAAAATTCTAGGTTTACTAAAGGATACAGTGTTCAAAATGAGCTGGTATAATGTAAATGATTGTGAAAACAAGGCATTCATTTCTGTGAATGATGACACAGCAGTCACTTTAACAATCTCAGTGCACTTTTGGTTACACATTCCACACCAAATAGCCAAGCTAAAATCCATTGCTTTGTGGATTCTAACAGTATATTTAAAATTAGAGGTCTGTCTGAAAATGCAAGACTGTTATTAATAAAATTTTGGTCTCCGATTCATATCATAGCTCATTTGTATCCCGGATTCTGAGAATGGAAATATAAGTTGATTAAAGCTACTGCTTTAACTGTATAATAGAGCAGCAACACCTTTAGATTTTTAATTTAAAATTTGCATACTTCCAAAAGATTCAAAGCAGCTCGTGTTTAAACTGGTTATTAGAAAGGTCATTTCAAATGCCACAGAATACAGAACATCTTCAAGTATTTAGCTTAACAAAACATAATGAAACTTTGCCAAGCATAAATATTCACTCTGATGACATGGTGGTGGGGCTTTTCTTTGCAGAATAGTCTCTGTCTGCAATTTTAACTGCCAAAGATTCTTGTCTCATCCTCAGTATGTGAGATATACTTTGGGGAAAATATTAAAAGCAATTTAAATGATTAAGCAAATTTCTCTTAAGTAAAACTGCTTGACACATAAAACTACTGTCTACCTAATAGGGGTTTTATGTTTAACTGAAAAGGGCACTAAAAATAATTAACGTGTACCTGAACAGTTCCTCAAGATCTTTCTGGAAAAAGTTACATCGCTCTTAAAATGAAAGGCACAAAACGAAAATTCTTTTATCCTTTACTGTATCTGTGCTGGTATGAAATATCACTATAGCTTATACTTTAGCAAGAGAGTACTGGGAAGGTTATTAACCGATACTGAATACCGTAGACAGCTTTACGCAGCGAGAAGACACGATGCTTCAGCTTTGAGGTACTTGCATTCCCAAACACTGCTAACTTACACTGTTAAGGTGGTCCACTGAAACACACCGCTAACAGTTAATCTCTTTCTCCAAGAGCGTATCTTAGCCACACTGAGAAAAACCCAACTTTAACCTAAACCTTTGAGGATCATTATTTGACATGGCTGGAAAAAAAGTCCTCCTGCTACAATTTCAGTCCTATTCTTGAGCGTATTTAGGACACTCAAAATCTCCAGCAAATTACTAGGCTACACTCATAAACAAGCCTGCCAAAATGTCCGCAGAAACGTTGAAAAAGGCCATCACAAGGCCTATCTGAGATACCTCATCAATGGCCTTCACCGCCCTTTGAGTCAATTGTTTAACATCCGAAGAGACTATTAGCTCTGCTAGAATCCAAGCGTCAGCTTCTCCAACCGTCACAAGGGCAGAGAGGATTTTAAACCCCATTTCAATGCCCCCTCTTCGGGATGTAACCACCTCCCACCCACCACACGGAACCAGGCGGGGGAGGAGGGCAGCAGCCTACTGCCGAGAGCGCTCTGCAGGGAGGCCGTTTCCCTGAGTCACCGAGAGGGCGGGAGGCTGAGCCCATCTGCCCATGCCACGTCCTCTTCGTAAGGGACTCGATTTAAACAGACAGGGCGCACAGGGGAAGGCAGCAGCACCGCCATTCCTCAAGGCGGCCCACCAGCCACCTCATTCCCAGGAGACGCCGCACTTCCCCAGAACTCGCTCTGCATTCTGGCAGCGACCAGCCGACCTTTCCCGACCAGCGTCACGTGCACCCGGAAGTACGTGGGTGGGACCTAAAGCGCCCACGGAAATGACGTTGCTCGCCCTTAGTCGCATGATGTGGCAAAATGCAAAAAAAGGTGGTGGAGGGGGAGGGAAAAGCAGGCGGCTGGGGAAAGTGATGAGGCAAAGAAAGTAGTCCCTTCGATGCCTCTATTTATTGCCGTGTCGCAGCCGTCAGCGAGTCCCTCGGCGCACTGCGCCCCGAATTCCTGCGCCCCGCGGCACCGCGGCCCTCCGTGGAGGGGTACATAAGGCGGAGTGGGGGGTGAAGTGACTGGGGCGGAGTTCTGTTGCCGGGATCCCTCCGCAGGGCTCAGCCGTTTCCGGAGTCTGCGCTGCGCCCGGTTCCGCCATTGCGGCTCTCCCGGACCCTGGAGCCTCCGCCCCCGACCTGAGCTCTTTCGTCTGCCTGCCAGTTTCCTGCGTCCCCGGAGACTCTCCTGCTGAGCCCAGCCTCCCCCCTCCCCTTTCTCCTCCTCTCCTTGGAGAGCCCGGGCAGCCACTGCCCAGCAGCCCCAGTGACAGGAGGAGACCATACCCCCCGACAGCGCCATGGCCCAGATTCTGCCAATTCGTTTTCAGGAGCATCTTCAGGTGCGGTGGGCCGGGGCTCGTGAGGGCTGTGGAGACGGGGGAGGTCGGAAGGAAGAAGCGGGAGTCTGAGTCCAAGCCAAAAAGAGTAGAATCGGAGAGGGGGGAGGGTATCGGTTCCTGAGGTAGGCGGAGGACGGGGCACTATCTCCGAAAGCTTAAAGGGTTAAACGATTGATGTGGGGCTTGGGTGGCGAGGGAGCGAGTCGAGATCCATGGGGGAGCGAGGCCACGCTGGGGTTTGAAGGCCTCTCTGTCTTCGCTTCCTGGATGGCAAGGACTGCGCATGATAAACCCTTCCACCCCCCGGTTTTATTCAGTTCATTCATTTGGGTTCGTGGAGCCGGGGACTGGGGGAGTTGTACGGTGGTGGTGATCTCCCGCGTTTCTTCCGGAGCAGGAATTCTCTTCTCCCAAGCCAGCGCAGGGCTGTCACTTCTCATTGCTCGCTCGCTCTCTTTCCCCTTTTCCCCCATCGTGCCTGCACCTAGGAGTTGTGGCGCGGGTGGGTTGGGGAGGAGCAAGCTTTTTTCCTTCCTCCCTCTGCGCCTCTCAGAGGGAAAGGCACCTTCCCCGGGGGTGGGGGAACGACAGCAGCTCCTCTCTTGCCTTGCCCAAGGCACTAGGAACGGGGAAGGTCACTGAAGGAAAAGGAGGAGGATAGAATGGGGGAATGTATTTATCAGGGTGGTGTCAATTTCAGAGTGCGTGGCCGGGGGGATCAAGGTTCCTAGGGGGACTCGCCTTTTTTCACTTTCTTGATTTCTCTGCGAATGGTGCAGCTTTGATCCCCTCTTTGGTTCTAGAAAACAGAAAGGAGTTGTCCAGAGGTTATCGTGGGGTCTGCCGGAGGTTAGCAGGTAGTTGGCTTGGCGTGAGTACCTCCCTCAGGATTGCAGGGAATTGAATGAACCCTGGGGATACAGCACATTTGCACTGAGATATGCAGGGTTATTTGGTCTGTAATTGGCTGCCTTTAGTAGGTTCTAGAGTTCTTCCCATGGTGCAGTATCCTGTAGGCAACAGACTGTCTTGTCTGGCAGCTTGCCCATGGCGGGCCCAGGCAGGTGATCATTGGAGGACTTGACTGAATTAAGTCGTTTTTTGAGCTTCTGATTTTCCTGGTTCACCAATCCTTGTTTTACTTAGGCTGAAATAAATTTATTCATAAAGTATGTTTTCTTTCCAGTTACATCCTTAAAGAGTCCTGCCTCCCCTCAGACATTTGAAGGACTAATTCGTAATGATAAGAGATGTCAGTGGTTTGACGTGACACTAATACTAGTGATCTACTAGACACTTTACCATGAAATGCTATTTATTTTCTGCCATTGTTATAACGTATATAAAGGCTTCTTGCTATTAGATTTAATAGTCTGGCTGTCAACATAATTTCTTTTTTTACAGGTTATCACCTTTGCTTGCATCAGCAAGACTTCTTTTCCTTTGTCTTGAAATATAATGAGTAATCTTTACTCAAAAAAATGAGTTAAGTACTGTACTTTTATTTAGTCATTTTTGGTTTTCATAACTCATGCGATGCAGTAGAACACTATTTGACAGAAGGTCAAGAAACATTAAGTGACAGAATGGACCCAGAAATTATTGTTCATGCTCCATCAAAATTTTTATTGCTGTGGTTACTACTGTTGAATGTGAAGGGTTAGGAAAATAATGTTTTTGAGTATGAAGGGAAAACACACCCTTGTCCTCACACTGAACTGCTTCTGGAATATAATTTTCCTGCAGACAAAGTATGTAAAATCATACACAAGAAAAGCAGTTAACAATTGCTGTTTGCTTTACAAAACAGAGGCATATCCCACTAGTAAATCTTGTTTCTTGACTAGTGGTAGTTTGAGCAATAGTTTTTCTTTTCTATTAATGAAGAAACAAGATTATTGAATAACTCCAAAGGTTGTACTCCAACCTTGTCACTAATTGAAGACACATTTAATATAGGTCTCCTTTCTAAGTGGTTCATAGTTTTTGCAAATACTTGAGTGAAGCCATCTTCTCAACTACTTTGAAGAGTTGAGTGTAAAGTAGCTATGCAAATATACTTAAAGAATTCAGTCTTTCAATTTCAGGAGCAGTATATTTAGCCCATGCCTAAGCTTAAGCTTGCTATGGTGACTATATACTCTAGCTGAAAATGATTAATTGTTCAGAGTCCCAATCACCAGCCTCTTTTAGAATAATATAATTCCTGACTTTTCATTTTTATTCATTCCCTTTATAAAAATTAATAAGGATTATTTTAATTGGCATCTTAGGTCTTTGACCTCTGAGCCTCTGCCAGTTTGCAAAATCTTTCTGAAACAATAATTGGGAACAAAAATTGAGGAACTTGAGTGTAGCATTAACCTGTGAAAACTTCAAAGGGTGAACTTGAAATGAATTTATACCACCTAACTACTTGGACCAACCGAAGGGTCTGTCATCAAGGGCTTAGAACTACATCAAATGAACATTAATATTTTAAGTTACAAAGTTTTTTTTTTCTTTTTTAAGATGTTTAGGCCGATAGCAGTGAACAGATGAGTGCCTATTTGAACAAGATTTTGTTAGAATTGCAGGTTCTGAAAAAAATCTTAGGCTGTGTATAGAGTTGCCTGCAGTCATCCTTTCTTAGCTCATTTAGTAATCTTTGCGCTGATTGACACATTCTGCTGTATTCCCAGGTTCTTTGGGTCTGAATTAAAAATCTCCCAAACCTGTTCTTTTCCCTTTGATCCATAAATGCAGGCATGGAATGTGTTGTGAATTCAGTGGTGGGGGTTCTTGATAATGGTTATTTTGATTTGCGAAGAGAAAGCAGTGCTGAGTGACTGGGGTATGTTACATGCTTCACTCTACCACCTGGAGGCGTCATACTGCCAGAGTTACGTGGCGGTCTACTCTAGGCCCGGTTACGGTGTATCAGGCTTTTCAGTATTTTCTTAATGGTCAGTTTACTCAGCTTGTAAAGGGGTGTGGCTAATTCTAGGGAATGTGCTTTCACTCTGTTTAGGAAATAATTTAAGACATAAAATGCTATGTGTGTAGAATCACAGTCATTTTCATTTTGGTGTGGAGTGAAGTACATGATTTCAAGAACCTTAACCTATATAATATTTGAATTATATTTAACAAGATGTTTTCCTGTCACTGTTACTATGTGGCTTTAACTTTTTGGAAAGCTACTCTCCAATGGAACTTTCTTCCATGATGAAAACCTATACTAGCTACAAAGGCATATTGAACACTTGAAATGTTACTATTATGTCTGAGGGACTAAATTTTTACTTCCTCTCAGTTAGTGTAAATGTCAGTAGCTACATGAAGCTATTAAGGAGGACATTGGACTGCACAATTGCAGGCAATACTGATGTGCTTTGTAAGAGTGAAGATTTATTTGGTCACCCATATTTATATGTCTGGAACATTTAAAAATATTTATTTACTTTACTGCTTTGAGTCTTCGTTGTAGAATGCAGGCTTAGTTGCCCTGCAGCATGTGGGCGCTCGGTTCCTGGGCCAGGGGTTGAACCCATGTCCCCTGCATTGGAAGGCGGATTCTTAACTACTAGTCTCCCAGGGAAGTCCCTAGGACATTGTGTTAGCTAACGCTTATTAATACAGACTGTTGGTTGAATACGGTCTCTTTTGGGAAGTGGTGATGATGGACAGTGACTAGTGAATGGAAGGAGCAGCACTTGTAAGAGTCTGTTGTGTCCTATGAATGTAGTGGGTGCTTCCAAGTCTTCACTTAATATCTTAAAAACAGCTGGAGAAAGACTTAAACTAGTGCCCAAAGGAATACAGTAGAGTGAGATTTAAATATAGGTCTTCTGACACTAAACATTTCAAAGAAAAACAATGATTGGTGTTAAGATGAGAAGTTAGGCAGTATCCTGGTGTGCCTTTGTTTTTCTGTTGGACTTTGGTCTGAGAAGTGATTTCTCTACTGATTTAATGTGTGGTTAATGATGTGGTATAGTAGACAGAGCAGGGGTTTGGAGGGTGTTGAGATCAGTGCCATCCAGTAGAAAAATACAAGCCATATCTGATTTTCCAGTGGCCATATTAAAAGTAAAAAACAGGTAAAATTAATTTTAATGTTTTGTTTAACTCAGTGGACCTCAAGTGTTATTATTTCAATGTGTAATCAGTATAAATCTTTCAGGTGAGATACTTTATATTCCTTTTTTGGGGGTACTGAATTTTCAAAATCTGATAGGTGTTTTATACTTGGAGCACATCTCAGCATTCATAAAGTTATAGGTTGTTTCAAACATAAGTTTGCCATAATTTACTTATCTGTTACTGTTTAATTTTAATTAACTTAATATTGAAAATAAATTCAGTCACAATGACCGCATTTCAGGTGCTCAGAACTGCATGTGGCTTGTGGAATATGGCTGGAGTATTAGAGAAGGCAGGTTAAGACTTGCCTTTTGCTCCTTTTTCTCTGTAAAATAGGTATACTACCTCACAGAGTTACCGTGAAGGTCTGTCATGTATGTGAAAGTCCTTGATGTATCACTGGGAGGCACTGATTGTCAGCTATATAATTTCTGTTCAGTATATTCTATTCAGACACCTCTCCGCCAGTGGCACATATTTGTAGACTTAAGACCTAGATTTTTATGGTTTATAAATATTTGGTACTGAAATTTGAATATTTACTATGTATCAACAATTACGTTACACTAAGGATAAAGTGGTGAACAGAACTGACTGCAACTTGCATTGACTAGTTCACAGAGGCTGTCCACATGTAATTGTAACCATGGTTGTTACTGACTGTTTGATACAGTGCAGGGTTGAATACAGATAGTCGTAGGACACAAAATTGATTCTGCTCTGAAACTACCCAAAAGAAAGAAGTTTGTACATTAATCATGAATTGTATCCCATTAGTGCTCACATGTGCCATTGGTACATCTTTAATTAGTGTCCCTTGGTCAGATAGATGAGACTCCTAATAAACCACATCTGATACAATGCCCACCTGGAAT